CGTCTGTTCCCGCCGCCATATTTGTTTTGGAAATCTAATCTGTTCGATATACCTCGCTATTTATTAGTCCGATAAACGGGAGCTGTGTAAAACTAGCTTTGCGGACGGAAATTTTCGTATTTTTCAACAGGAAGTATAACTAACACCAATATAAAATATCATCAATAAGTTTAGTTGATATATTTAAATATTAATTATTATATTTACGCATACATTTTAAAAGACTGGTATTAGGAAGCACACATTAATATATACTAAAATGGCTGGAATAATCCCGAGTTATAAACTTTTCCGAAAGAAACTCGAGTGTTCCGAAGAGCCATTGGTATCTTAAAAAATGTCTGTGAAGTTGCTACATGTTTAATTATTCAAATGACAATTTAGTTTTGTTGGCCTTAAAGATAAAGGTTCAGAAATAGTTCTCATTGGTGAGAATCACCGTCATTTATTAATCTGTTGCACGTCATTTTCAACCAGAATGAGACAAATGAAAGTAGTTTGATGAGGATTTATATAATGACGGTCCAGTTAAGTGCAGCTGTAATGATGCCAAACTCGGTAAGAGCGCATAATTATTGTCATCATAATCAGTCGCCACATACTCAAATATAAAGTGAGATTTTAAAATTCATCTTGATTTATGTTATTTTTCGTACACAGCCTCGTTGAAGAATTCTACTTTGGTTTGATTTGGGGAGGGGGGTTGTTATTTGTTTTATATTATTAATGAGGAGGTATTGGTTTCTTTGACATGTGTTTACCTCAGGTATGCGGTTTTTACAGCAAATTTGAGGTAAATATATACAGATAGTTGATGTCAGAAAGCTGAGTTATATTTAGTTGATTCAACATTTAATTATCATTCACATCACTTGTCTTGTTTGTTGTTAGCAAAATTTATTGATTTCTCCTGATTATCCTGTGTTATTAATTCATTGTTTAAAGTTTGTGCTCAAGTATTTTGTGAGTTAACAGGTAAAGGACATGTACAACTGTTCAGTGTTCCTCCAAACCAATCAAACCCTCACCCACCCCAAGTAGTTTGTTTAGATTGTGTCCCATTTTTCAAAGACTGTCCTATATGTTAATTTAGACCTGGTGGTAAATATCTTGTGTATACCACTCTATATATACTGTGTATACAACTCCTTATATTCTGTGTATACCACTCTCTGTATACTATGCATATAACTCTTTATATACTCTGTAAACCACTTCTTATATACCCTGTTTACTAGTGTTTTATAATCTGAATACAAATCATTATATAATCTTCTCAATATTTCTTTGTCAAGACATCTTGGTTATATGTTATAATAAACAATAGGCACTGAGTTAGGACCAGTCTCCTGGGAAAATCCTTACAAAAGTGTATCCAAATGTTGATGCTCAGCAATATCTATACTACTACAGCCAGGTATTACACATGTAATCACTACTACAGCCAGGTATTACACATGTATTTACTATCACAGACAGGTATTACACATGTATTTACTACCACAGATAGGTATTACACATGTATTTACTACCACAGAGAGGTATTACACATGTTTTTACTATCACAGAAAGATATTACACATGCATATACTATCACAGACAGGTATTGCACATGTATTTACTAACACAGACAGATATTACACATGCATATACTATCAGACAGGTATTACACATGTATTTACTATAACAGACAGATATTAAACATGCATATACTATCACAGACAGGTATTACACTTGTATTTACTATCACAGACAGATATTACACGTGCATATACTATCACAGACAGGTATTGCACATGTATTTACTATCACAGACGGATATTACACATGCATATACTATCACAGACAGGTATTCCACATGTATTTACTATCACAGACAGCTGATATAACACATGCATTTACTTACTACAGAGAGGTTCCTATACTGCTATATATTGCTATTGTTGTTTTTGGGGGGAGGGGGTTGAATGGAAAATAGTNTGCTTGTGTGAAATGCCTTTTAGGTCACAAAATACAATTGTATCTCTACAAAATATATCTAGTAATCAATATCTCAAAGACTTTAAAGAACATGCACCTGATGATGAAATATCACTAATCTGTATATATGTATTAAATAATGAAATATTACTTCTTGTCTGTGATAGTACAAGTAAATACAAGTTTATAACCAGTTTGAAACAATTTATGTTCCTTACATGACAATTGCAATGTATTGATAGAACATAGAATTACAAATACATAAGTATGTTCCCTTAATTTAATGTCTGTGATAGTTAAAACAATTTTATCTGAAGCAATATAATTCAAGATCCATAGCCTGTCTGTGATAATAAATACAGGTGTATTACCAGTCTGAAACAGTAAATAAAAAATATGTTCCTATGTCTGTGATAGGCAGCCTGAAACAATTAACAAATGTTCCTAATATGTTTGTTATAGTTAATACAAGTTTATAACCAGTCTGAAACAATTAATAAATGTTCCTAATATGTTTGTTATAGTTAATATAAGTTTATAACCAGTCTGAAAAAAATAATAAATGTCCATAACCTGTCTGTGAATTTGTACGGGTAATAATACAATTTTATCAAATTACTTTTAAAACATTAAATCCGTGAAGAAAATTAAGATAAAACATTTTAATGACTAAATTGTAAGTTATACATGCAGAGGATCGTTTTCCTTCAGTTATGAAATGCATAGGAACATCCCTTTCTCCACCACTTACCTTACCCCCATCTACTTTATAATGCTTAACCTTTTAAAATAATGTTAATACCGCTATAACCAGACTATATTTTTTGGGGGCATTAAACTCCTACTTTCACTTTCACATACTTCATTTCCGGTTACGAAATACGAAACTGAGGCTTTCGATTTAATGCTTTACCGTGCACAGCTCCCGTTTATAACATTCATTTAATATATATCAACCATCATATTCCGATTCGCTGGCAAACTTTTGCCAACGCGCCTCTGATTGGTTCATCTTAAGGTCGCTTGAACGTGACCCCGACCGCGGCAGTAACAGATAGGGTACATTCGCGTATCCGGTTGAAACGGTTGAACCGGTTGAACCTGTAAAGAAAACGACAGGTAACGTCAGTGCGGGCAAATTCGCAATGCACCCAAATTCGCCACCCTGTGACGAAAATGCCATATGACGTAATAATACATAAAATGTGACGTAAATAACGTCACCATAGTCTTCAACACAGTTAAAGCCTTCAAATATTTTGACAAGAAAAGGTATACGAAGGGAAAAGTTATACTTTCAATCAAAACAATTATGAAATATCTTGTAGCACAACGAATCTTAAAAATTTGGTCTGTGCGACGAACAACTCGTCAACTAAACTCATCAATCTGAGACCAGTTGGTTGTTAGTGTAAAATCAGTACATACACATTGAAAATACCCATATCTTAACGCTGATTGCAGTTAATGATTGACTGAGCCGTCAATGCAAGTAAATTGTTTTTCTACAAGTGTACTATGGTACGTCCTGTACAATGTACTGACGATCGTGTTTATGGAAATGACGATCGGAAAGATCCGCGATTTGATGAATTATCGTCATGCAATGTGTATTTAGAATACAATCAACCAGTATATTTTTAAAAGTATTGTTTGCGTCTTACATTCAACCATATAACAACACTTAAATTAAAATACCATCTCGAAATTTTCTAGATTTATATCGGAAAGCAATTTGTTCTGTTGAAAGTAATTTGTTGTCGGCCTGAAATTACTACTGTACAATCGCATGCTGATTTTACGTAGAGACCGACAGTTACCAAAAACTGATTTTCACATGAAAAAGTAAGTACATTTACAACACATGGACGGACAGTCTTTGTTGAATAAGTTTTCAAGCTCAAGAAAATCGTTTTAATTTGTCAGATGTTTCCCGTTGACCTGCAAGAGGATCGGAGACGTACATGTCACAAATTATCCGAAATTCATAAGGGGGGGTCGTTAATTGAAAGCTCTGGACTAGACCCTCTCATCCGGACCCGATGCAAAAATGGGCAGCGTTTTGGAAGTTTACATTTGTTAAGGATTGAGTCTTTATTGCGTATCATGTACAATGATACCCGTCATCTTTCTCAAATAACATTAATCAGTTTCTTCAAGTTACCGAAAATTATCTATCACGACTAAGAAAAGCCATGTATTTCAATGTTAATCATTGTTACACAATCACATTTGGAGCTGTTCGTTTCAGTACGACTTGTGTAACATAAACATACAAAATTTTACATTTAAACACTTAGATTACTTGTAAATTAGTTAAATGTTTGAAGGTGACGAAACTGCCTGCATCTTTGAGCAAAACCACGGAAGGCCTGATGACGTCACAAATGGTGCTGCATGACGTCATTCAGGTGTGTTTACAACAATATTTATTTATAGGTATTTCAGTTAAATCCACTTCTGTACTGGTGCTCGTCGGTATTTTGATACATACATATTTGGACGAATTATTAACCGAAACCCTTTCTTATGTGACGAATTTGCCTGCACTAACGTTACAGATTTGGACCGAGGCTGACCTCAGGAAAATTTGGTACGTGTAGATTGAGGGTCCAGACGTACCTGGCCGAAACTAAACTGCTGAATATTGCTAGTTTGCGTTATTTCTTTCTAAAACAATGTCAAGCCACATGTAGTTTTTAAGATACGTTATGTAATTTAGTGGACGCGTGAGAGAAGGGCATAATATTCTTGATACATTGTTTTTTATTCTCCGAAACTGTGCATTTTTAGCTCTGCTTATAGAACGGTCCAAGTGTGTTCGTTTATCGTGGAAAATTTCTGCGCCACACGTACCGTTTCAACCAGTAACGCGAATGTAGCCATAATTTTAATCAGAATGAGGCGAATGAGGCAACAAGAATCTGGTTGAACGAGACTACCGACAATAAAGCGTCTAGCTGACAATGACATCAACAATAACTTGGCACGCGTGACGGGCGCATGTGACGTGAAGGTAATGCCTATTTTCGACACATTAATGTTGTGCAATTTTATTTGAATCACGTGATGCGGAACTCCCTTTTTTCTCCATTTTCATTTGCGACGTCGTACGTATATGAAAAGTGTTCAATTTTGGGTACCATTCCATTTTTTGAGTACATTGATCGGTAATGGTCAGTGATTTCATGCTGTAAAAAAATTGTTAAAATATTTAGCGAAGGTAATAACTGTGCTGAAAATGAGTGGAAGGAGTGTGGTACATATATCTCAGGATATCATACAGGTGTAAAACATGGCGGTAGACAGGACAGTCTAACTCAGGTGGACAACGAGGGGTTCTAGTTCTACAATATAGTGACCACCTTCAACTAATTGAAGATTTTGTCACAAAGTTGGATTTATGCAGCACAAGTGACAGACTATATATATATATTACATAACATGTTGCTGTCTGCCTTGACACTGATTCTACTCTGTTGGTGTTGCTTTGAGTATGTGGACTCTAACGTTAGTGCAGGCAAATTCGAATGGGGGTACAGTCGTTTCGGTAACCGGTAGTTACGGAACTTCAAAAAGAAGATGTTTCGGTACTTTTTGTAATTCGTTTCGGTACCTGTATTTAAGTTATGTTTCGGTACTACTACTTCCTTTATTAGTTAATAAATATTTCTCATTTGTTATTTATAATTGGTTGTTTATATAACGTTTGCTTTCGTACTTTAACTGAGCAGCTGAGTAGATTGGAGTAGCTCTTTAGGAGAAACTCAACAAAATGTCTAAGTCTGGTGTGAGGGCCAGGGAATACGCGAGCTACCTTCTCCCTTGATGTTCTGTGGAGCCGAAGTTAGGTTAATGGCATTTCTAAAACACAGCAGGCTGATGACGTTACATTTCCTGTGTGTGTATTCTGTCTTGTGTCACTATTAATTGATGGTGATTATTCCGAGGTACATCATGTATGGTGTTTCATTTATATCTGTTCCTTATAATAGGTCCCCTCCTAGAGTGTAAGCCCTGGCATGCCTGTAATTCCTGGCAAGTGTGCATATCAACAATAGCTGTTACATTCAGACTGTAGTGAATCCGTATTTGTATATGTTTAGGTGTGCTTTGACCGGAGACATATATACTGCAGAGATTTGAAACTGCCTCTTTTACTGAAAATCTGGCCAATCTAGATTCCCTGCATAAGTGGTCAGTAGATTTGAGTGTCAGTGTTTTTGGTGACACTACTCTCCTTCCTGTTATACTGACATTACCGGGTTTTTTGTATAAGAATACAAAATATAAAAATTATCTTACTAGACAGCATTTGAATATTTGCTACATTTTGAAATATCTTTTATAATTGTTATGATACTCTTTAGACCCAGGTGTGCCTTATGTTGTAATATGAGGTTACTGTAATTAGCCATTCCGGAATTTAGCCAACATGTGCAACTTTCTGTGCATTGGTGCTATCTTTGAAAAGTGTGGACCCACTTTAATTAACATGTCCCTTTATTTTGTCAGTCAACTTTGAATTCCAAGCATAACGAGGCTAAGGTTGATGTTGAAGGAAGCCTTAATGGTTTGCATGACAGACAAGATCGAGTTACAATGTACGATCCTGGAAATCTTACTTCAGAAACAGAAAATGGAGACCAAAGATCCTCAAATATTGGAGGTAAGTACCAATGACAAAGGCTACATCGCGTATCCCGGTTGAAACGGTACGTGTGGCGCAGAAATATTCCACAATAAACAAACGAACTTGGGCCGTTCCATAAGCAGAGCTAAAAATGCACAGTTTCGGAGAATAAAAAACAGTGTTTCAAGAGTATTATGACCTTCTTTCATCCGTCCACTGAATTACATATAACGTATCTTAAAAACTACTTTTGACTTGACATTGTTTTAGAAAGAAATAATGCAAACTGGCAATATTCAGGATTTTAGTTTCGGTCAGGTACGTCTGGACCCCTCAATCTACACGTGCCAAATTTTCCTGAGGTCAGCCTCGGTCCAGATCTGTGTCTGTCGTTGTCTTATCAGGTTCAACTGTTTTATCCTGATACGCGAATGTACCCCAAGTGTAACATATTGTACTTATGCTACTCAATCCTCCAATTGTGATTTCACCAATATAAGTAATGGGCACTTTCTTAGAGTCATATTAGAATTTTTAGGTAAATTGTTAATGGGATATAAAATCACTCATTTACAAAACAAAATAACCCAACACAAAGAACAATTCTTACTGAAATCAATGAATGCTCCTTAGGTCACTAACTTATAACCATATACAATTGCTAGGCTTGAAAAGACAAATTTATTAATGCTACCAGGTTTGTTGTTATACATATTACCATCAACATTTCCAAACAGAGGTCTTGAACTTCAGTGATAAGTTTATTAAATCATGTACAGTGAAATTGAGCTTAGTGCGATTTGTTATTACATGAGCACTACTTATACAACTGATTACAAATTAGTATCAGCTAACTATTTCGTAAAGAAGGTTTGCACAATTAAATATATATCGATAATCAAAGTTCTACACTGTATATCGGGGGCCACGATGGTGTCTGACATTCTGCTACCACTAGCCCTCCATCACTGGGTTGTGGGTTCAAGGCCTACGTGGGGCAGCCGCCAGGTACTGGTCGTAGGTCGGTGGTTTTTCTCGGGGAACTCCATCTTTCCTCCACCACATAAAACACAAACAAACCAAACACTGTATATATATATATATTCATTATAAACCTAAGTGCAATACAAATAATCATGTTTGAATTTTTGTTTTTTAAAACAACAGTTTATATTATTATACTTTCAACTCAATTTATGATATATGCATTATGTTATGTTTTGATAGGCTTTGTTCCTAACATGATGTGTATCATGTCAATATATATATACTACTATCTAAACTTTTCTATAACAGGTCAGAATGACAGAGTGCATATAGAAGAAGAGACCGAAACAGGTATACATGTATTTTTTTACCACAAAGTTAACTCATTCACCCCTGAAAACAAAACATTTGAACTCTTCCAATAAAAAGGTTGGAATAGTTCATTATGAGATTTCCGGGGTGAATGAGTTAAGGTAAAATCCTTCTGTGTTTTCAGACTCAATGCAATCAATTCTTATCTAGTGAACTTGACTTAAAGTCTGTACAATTTGTTCACGGTTATACATGATTTAAAAGGCTTAAGAATCGACTACATGAGTGGTAAATCATAAAAGTAAAAGGTAACAACTTAAAATAGTCTGCCAGTTGCTTTCATAAAAAAATATTAGCATTGAGGTATATGTTAATGTTTCTGAGTAACCATTGTGATGATACTTTGAGACAAGGCATAGCCAATTTAAACCATGCGTCTAGCTATTTTATTGGTCCCAGTTTTCAAGTTTCAAGTCTCGAGTGACCTATTGCGATCGCCTTTTGTCCGTCGTCGTCTGTCCGTAAACATTTTTGACTTCATCTCCAAAACCCCTGAACCAATTTCAGTGAAATTTTGCAGAAACCTTCCATGGTCAAAGGTCAACAAAAACTGTTGCCGGTTTGGTCCATGACCCTTGTGTATCACGTTTACCCCTGGGGAGGGGGTAAACTTTACTATAGTTTATATAGGGAAATCACATTTTGGACCAACATTTGTTTAATTTTCATTGGAAGTAATTAAATTTGGGTTAGCATTATCAGTATTGGATAGCCGTTTGATGGTATGCACATATGAGCCCTGACTGACCCAGATATGGTAGAATCAAACACTCTTCATAGATGGAAGGGTCTTAAGGTTTATGACCCTAGGGTCACACGTTAACCCCCTGGGGAAGGAGGGGGGGCAAAATTTATTATGGTTAATAATGGCAAATGATACTTTGAATATTACATGTTAATAACTTGATTGGAATTATAACCCTGAGTTGACAGTTTGATACTTTGAAAATTTTGAGCCAGCCCTACCCCCAAGGACTGTAGGGTGGGGCCCAAAGGAGTCAGTGTGCTAAAAAAAAATCATTTTCCTTGTTTAGAATCAGAGGTGCTAGTTTCAAATACTTTTTAGTCTTAAATCTGTATGCTAGATATTGAATAAGGTGGTTTTATTGTTTTTTGTCACTGAATAATATTTCTGTTCGTATTAAAAACAAAATCAACTCTCTGTATAAATATATCAGGTGACCGTTAAGGCCCATGGGCCTCTTGTTATTTACCAAATGCAATACAGAGCCTTCTATTTTCCTATGACATATTCCAGGGGTGCTGAGAGCATAACGGTTGGGTTACATATGGTTACCCAAGCTTTACAACTAGAAAAGCAGAATATTTAGTGTAACATTAAACATTTTGAAACAATTTATACCGTTTATATATAGCACTTATGTATTCAATTAATTTTCAACATATTTAAAGGGGCTATTTAGTAAAATGACAACCTGAAACGTACGGCTGTACAGTTACGGATTTCTCCATTACTGATTAATAATGCCAAGATAACACTGTCTCTTAAAAATTCCTCAACATGAGTTGTTGATAAGGAGTATCAAACTATATAATCATAAAAAGTTTTGTGACAAGGTTATAAAAAAACCTTCACTAAATTGTCCATTTAACACTACAGCTTCATAGTAGGGCTTATGTGAATTTTACATGAGGCCAAACAAAAGCATATGTCTCCTAATTCTACTTGAAAAAAATTAGGGCCGGTAGTAAACCAGAAACACACAATTTTTTGGCCTGATTCTAAAATTCTAACTGATCAGTATATTTCATTTTTGTGGGAGTCAACGAATATCGTTTCATCACATATCGCGATATTTACTCTTACTAAATTAAAATTAAGTAACCTGCAATGAGCAATATAATATTAATCTTAAGTTTATGCATGGCCACATAAGGTAATGGGCAATTTTTAGCATGCGGCACAAACAGGACTCTTAAAATTCTGCAAGTGTTTACCTGTACTTATGAGGAGAAATTATAAGGATGAAGATTTGAGAGAATTGATGTAGACAAAATATTTTCATTGTATTATTTCTTTTTTCTTCTCTGTTTGTAGATCAAGATCCTTCTGCAATGTCCAAGTTGGCCATTACAGGTGGCGACAAAGAAACACATCTTTCGACTGGCTGGAAAAGCACTTGTAATTATGACCATCAAGATGGGGTTAAAGAAGGTAACAGCAAGCAGTTTTTATAATTGCCCGGTGTCCGATGGGTTGTATATATTATGGTATGGGCTGCGTTGTCCGTCCGTCTGTTAACTTTTCCTTGTCATCACTCTCCTGCCTTTATTCGTGAACATTTCTTAATGAAACTTGGTACACATAATGCATACCAATAACGCTCAAATGGGTTCGCATTTCAGAAGTTTACGTGAGTTTTTTTTATTTTTTTTATTTATGCCCCTTTCATTGCCAAATAAAGTTATTGTGTAGTAAATGCAAGATCTTTTCTATTTATGAATAAATTCCTTTCATATTTTGTACGGTATTGTTTGAAACAATAATGTTCAACATATATTACAAGTTTTTCTGTCGAGTTTCAACTTTCCAGGTCTTGGCATATCACACTTGCCATAGCAACACTTTACTTCATTTTTGCCGTTAACTTTTCCTTGTTTACACGATAACTCAAACAATTGTTTCCCAATTTTTATTAAACTACTTGGTTGAGTTCTTAAATAGTGACATTTAAACACTATTCGGCAGAGTTATGCCCCTTTTTCATTGCCAAATAAGGGTATTCATTCAAAAATGCAAGATCATTTTAATTATTTGTTTAATTCCTTTAAAATTTAGTATGGTTATACAAAAACCAAACATGTTTAACATATATGACAGGTTTTGTTGTCGCGTTCCAACTTCTCATACCAACATGATACACATAAGTATACACAAAATTACTAAGATACATGTAGTATGAATGAGTTGGTGTTTTAACCAAATTTTGTCTAGAGAATCCATGAGCAAAGGGGACTCAATTTTGTAAACAGAGAATGTTTACGATTGGAGAAACTTATAACAAATATTGTGTAGAGCATCCTTGGGCAGATATTTGTATAAACGGAGGGTGCATGTGTCTCTCCCCTCCCTGGGGGCAGAGGGGAGGGGCCCAGTTGGGGAAATAGGGATAAATGTTTCTCCTTGGATAGATATGGAGTGATTCTAAACGAATGTTTTAATTACTTACACAGCAAAAATTTCTTTTCACAGAGCGGACAACTGTTGTTCCCAAGGGATCATATTCTCCTGGTAGTTCTGATGAAGGTTGGTATAGTAATTGCTAATTAGGGGTCAGTAATATATGCTAGTTAATTGTGATAGCATGGAAGTATGCCAGTTACTTTAACATAAAATTATTTAACAGTATTGAATATATATATGATTCTGAGTTACCAGTTTGATAATTTTCTGAGACAAAGAGGAAAAATATTTTAGCATGAGACAATTAGTATTGCTTCATATAAAATCATGAGATATTATCCCAATTTTTTCTCCATCAAGTTGTCCAGTAGTGCCTGTTACTCTTAAGGTGTATTCATTAAAACAAAATGGTCATCCAGGCCGCCATTTCTGATTTGGACATTTGAAGTATGTTCTCGCTATATCTCCAGAAATACTGGATGGATCTTTTTGAAATTTCATATGCACATATAGCACCTACCATCGAGTGCTACATCTTAACCTCATATCAAGTACTTCAAACATATGCAGGTGAGCAATACAGGCCCTCTGTGCCTCTTGTTTTAATTACTTACACAGCAAAAATGTCTTTGCACAGAGCGGACAACTGTTGTTTCCAAGGGATCAGATTCTCCTGGTAGTTCTGATGAAGGTTGGTATATGGTAATTGCTTATTAGGGGTCAGTAATATATGCCAGTTAATTGTGATAGCATGGAAGTATTCCAGTTACTTTAACAGAAAATTATCTAACAGTATTGAATATATATATGATTCCGAGTTACCAGTTTGATAATTTTCTGAGACAACGAGGAAAAATATTTTAGCATGAGACAATTAGTATTGCTTCATATCATGAGATGTACTCTAAATAAATCAGAATTAAGTACCCTGCAATGAGCTATACTTAAGTTAAAGAGCTAATTATACAAAACCACATAAGAATATGGGCACTTGTTTACCTGCCACACAAATGAGATTCTAAAATTCTACTGGTGTTTATCTGTATTGATGAAAATGAGTAGAAGTTACACTTTATAAGGATGAAGAACTGGGATAATCGTGGCTAGTATTGCCTGAAAAGCTATTGTAGAGGAAATACTATCATTGTATTCATTTTCTACTTCTTTGTTTGTAGCTCAATTAACAGTGGAACATGCACAGTCGACACCTTATTCCATCACTACCGCTACAAAAATATCTCTTGGGCGCTCTTTAAGAACTTATGAAGATGGGAATAAAAAAGGTAAAAGCATGCAGCCTGTCAGATAGTATAAAGATTGTGTACAAGATATGTCATTATAAAAGTCCAATCAGGTGATTCAAAATAAATTGGTCTAAAGCCATTCTTGAAAGAGAGGACTGTAAATGGAGGGTGTGGTTCGCCTTTAGATCTAGAGCAGAAGATGTATCCCAATAAGGTAAATAGAGTTTATAAAAAGGGTCAGAGAACTTAAGAAACCTTTTTCTTCTATCTAGAAAAAGGTAAACACAATGTCTTTGTGTTTACCAAACTTTATTATAATCCAATCAACTCCTAGTCGTGGTTGGATAATATTAAGAAACGGGCAACCAATATATTGTATGTTTCTTACACAAAATATTCTAATATTTAACGCTGTCACAGAGGTGTAAGTACTTAATATTTATAGCACATCACTTACGCAGCAAAAATGTCTTTTCACAGAGAGGAGGATGCCTCAGAGATCAGATTCTTCTGGAAGTTCCGATGGAGGTTGGTATAGTAATTGTTTATTAGGGGTCAGTAATATAAACCAGTTAGTTGTGATTTCATTTTTTTGAATACAAGTGTTAGGGTCAGCTAATTGCGAGATGAAAATGTGCTGGTTTAGAAAAAAATGTCAAGTATATGTGAATATAAAAAATATGTATATATAAATGACCAATAAGTGTATATCGACAAAAAAACGAAAGAGGTAAACAAAGGCTTAAATCTAGATTCAACTAGCTATAGTTTCATCTGTCGTCAATGTACACTTTGGTACACTTGGTACACTACCAAAATGCAATTAAGTGAATGGCAGTGTGTTCACAGTATTTGGGGAAATGATTGTCAGGGACCAGATATTCATAATGTATAGTATTACTTTAATTATATTATAAGGTGAATAGATGTACATTATTTTCCGCGGCGTCCGTAAACTTTTCGTAAAAATTGATACTAGTCATGAACGACTGAGCAGATTTTGACCAAATTTGGTCAGAAGCATCCTTTGGGGAAGGGGAACGAATTGTTTTTGTATAAGTGGTGGGCCTGGCCCCCCTTTGGGCTGATGGGCGAAGCCCAATAGGGGAAACATAGCAAATTATTCTTTAAAATCCTTCTTCTTCTGTGGGAATGAAAGGGTTTGGTCCATATTTGGTGTGGAGCAGCCTTGGGTAAAGGGGGACACATTTTGCATATACCGTGGGTCTGGACCCACAGGGGCCTGAGGGGCGGGGCCAAATAGGGGCAACATAGCAAATTATTCTTTAAAATCCTTCTTCTGTAGGAATGAAAGGATTTGGTCCATATTTGGTGTGGAGCAGCCTTGGATAAAGGGGAACCAATTTCGTATAAACGGTGGGTGTGGCCCCCCTGTGGGCAAGAGGTACGGGGCCCAATAGGGGAAACATAACAAATTCTTCAAAATCCTTCTTCTGTAGGAATGACAGTATTTTGTTGAAGTTTAGTATGAAGCATCATTGAGTGAATGGGAATCAATTTTGTATAAACGGTGTGTCTGACCCCCCTGGAGGCAGACAGGCGGTGCCCAATAGGGGAAATAGAGGTAAAACCTTTAAAATCGTTCTTCTACCATAGAGATTAAGGGATTTTATCCTTATTTAGTCTGAAGCATCCTTGGGCCAACGGGTCTCAATTTTGTATAATTGGTGGGTATACCCCCCCCCCCCCAGGGGCATAGGGGGGGGCCTCTGTTTGAAGTTTGTTCTCGCTATATCTCAAGTACTGGATGGATCTTTCTGAAATGTCACATGTACTTACAGCACGTAGCATGGAGTGCTATATCTTTACTTCATACCAATTATTTTAAACATATTCAGGTGAGCGTTACAGGCCCTCTGGGGCTCTTGTACATGTTAACATAGGATAACATTTGTCTTATCTGAAACTTAAAACAATTCGGATAGATTATACAAAATCATAAGTCTTATTTCTACTTTATGTAAGAAAAAGAATTACAGCATTTTGTTGCATTAATATGCAGATGTCAGATTTAACTTTAATAGTTAGATAATTGAAAGTAATTTAGATATACATACGTGGAAAAAAGATGCACATTTATGTACATTTTGTTTTAGGAAGTACCTATAGCTAAGGTATCTCTTAGATCTTTTTTTTGGAGAAGAAGACAAAATAAAAGGGTATAGCATGCTCTATATAGGTATTTAAGGTACAGTTAAGGTATATACTTCAGGTACAGGTATATCGTAAATGTCTATTATATGAGTTAAATGTTTCTCCTTGGATAGAAATGGAGTGATTCTAACCTAATTGCGTATAGAATGCCCTTGGGCAAAGAGAGGTAAATTTTGTATAAATACGGTGTGTGTTTCCTTTAGGGGCAGAGGGGCAAGGGCCAATAGGGGAAATAAATGTAAATGTTTAAAATCCTTCTGTAGTAATGGAGGGATTTTATCCAAATTTGGTCTAGAGCCATTCTTGAAAGAAGAGAACTTAATTTTCTGTAAATGGAGGGTGTGGTTCTCCTTTAGATCTAGAGCAGAGGGACGTATCCCAATAATGTAAATAGAGTTTATAAAAAGGGTCAGAGAACTTAAGAAACCCTTTTCTTCTGTCTAAAAAAAGAGATCTACCGTACACCAAAGAGTATACTTGGCCCAACAAGACTCAGTGTTGTAAAAACAATTTCTTTGTGTTTACCAAACATTATTTCAATCCAATCATCTCCTAGTCTTGGTTAGATAATATTAAGAAATAGGCGACCAATATATGCTTTGTTCCTTACAGTCGCAAAAATATTCTAATCATTCATATGGTTACAGAAATATAAGTACTTGATATTGACGACATTTTTTAAATTACTTACGAAACAAAAATGTCTTTTTACAGAGTGTTTGCCTGATGTACCTGTGGGATCAGTTTCTTCGAGTAGTTCAGATGAAGGTTGGTATAGTTATTGCTTATTAGTGGTCAGTAATATAAACCAGTTATTTGTGATTTGAATACATGTGTTAGGGTCAGCAAATTCCGAGGTGAAAATGTGTTGGTTTATAAAAGGATGTATCAACAACAACAAAAAAGAAGTAAACAAAGGCTTAAATCTAGATTCAACTAGCTATAGTTTCATCTGTCGTCAATGCAGGTTTTTAATGAATGATTTCTGACTAAATTTCTATCCACAAGGTCAAGTTTAACCAAAGGTCAAGCTTACCAAGTGTTGTTATGTCAGTTTCAATTAACTCTTCATCTTGTTTATATAATATTTAGAAACAGGCATTCAATATAATATGCTTTGTTCCTTACAGTTAAAACAATATTTTTATCATTCATATGGTCACAGAGATTAAAGTATTAAATAGTTGCAGCATTTTTAGCCCACATGGCCCGAAAGGCCAAGTGAGCTTATGCAATGGAATGGCGTCTGTCGTCCGTCCTTCAACTTTTCCTTTAAAACGCTACTAGTCCTGAACGGCCAAATGAATTTTAACTAAATTTTGTCTGGAGCATCTTTATGACAAGAGCATTTCATTTTTAAGGGATTTAATCCTAATTTTTTCTGGAGCATCATTGGGCCAAGGGCATTACATTTTGTATAAACAGTGGCCGTGGCCCCCCAAGGTGCAGAGGCGAATAGGAGAAATTAAGGTTAAACTTTTAAAATCCTTCTTCTACCATGGGAATTAAGGGGTTTATCCAATTTGGTCTGGAGCATTCTTAGGCCAAGGAGACGCAGTTTTGTATAAATGGTGGGTTTGGACCCGCTGGGGGCAGAGGGGTGTGGCCGAATAGGGGAAATAGAGGTAAAACCTTTAAAATCCTTCTTCTACCATAGGGATTAAGGGATTTTATCCTAATTTAGTCTGGAGCATCCTTGGGCCAAGGGGACTCAATTTTGTATAAGCAGTGGATGTGGTCTCCCAGGGGGCAGAAGGGCGGGGTCCAATAGGAGAAATAGAGGTAAAACCTTTAAAATGGATTTATTCCTTAATATACCCCCTGCAACGAAGTTAGGGGGGTAAACTGTAGTCAGCTTGTTTGTCGGTCCGTAGAAAAAATATGTCAGAACAACTCCTTCTAAAGTAATTGACCAATTTCAATGAAACTGTTCAGATGTGACAACTACCACCTGAAGTTGTGCATCCGGGTAATATTTTTTTATTCTGACCCTTTTATGAAGTTATGGCTTGAAAAAATCCTGCAACTTTTTGTCCGGACAAATCCTTTCAAGTTATGGATCGATTTCAACGAAAGTTTCCGGATATTATAAGTACCACTTGCAGTTTTGTATCCAGGTATCAGTTTTTTCATTCTGACCAATTTTTACAAAGCTATGACCCTTTGTTGAAAAATCCTTTTTCCGGACAACTACCTAAACTACTGGACCAATTTCAACGAAAGTTTCCAGATATGATAACTACCACCTGATATTGTGCAACCAGGTATTCTTTTTTTTCATTCTGACCCTTTTTAGGGAGTTATTGCCCTTTGTTAAAAAAAAATGCAAGCATGCACAACTTCTCCAAAACTCCTGGGCCAATTTCAATGAAAGTTTTCACATATAACTACCACCTGATGTACATCCAGATCATTTTTTTCAATCTTTCCCTTTTTTGGAGTAATGGCCCTTTGTTGAAAAAATACTTGTCCAGACAACTCCTCCAAGACTATGTGGCCAATTTCAACGAAAGTTTTCAGATATGATAACTACCCTATGATGTTGTGCATCCACAAACTGTTTTACCAACCCTTTTTATGGAGTTGAGGCCCTCTGTTGAGAAATTCTTGTCCTAACATGTTCTCCTTATCTAATGGGCAAATTTTAAAGAAAGTTTACAGATATGGTAACTGCCCCCTGACATTGTGCATCTAAGTTGTACTTTTTCATAGCAATCCTTTTAAAAGGAGTTATTGCCCTTTGTTGAATAAACCTTTATCTGCCTAATAAACTACTCGGCCAATTTCAATAAAAGTTTACAGATATGGTAAATACCCCCTGATGTCGTGCATCAGGTTAGTAAAAAAAAATATGTTGACGCTTTTTAAGGAGTTTTGGTCCTTTCTTAAAAATCTTTGTCTGACATCTTTTCCTTAACTAATAGGACAATTTCAGCAAAACTGGTTCATCTGGTCTAACAAGATTTTGTATGTAAGTATGTTTTGGCATAGGAAGGGAGTACAGGAAGTATGCCAGTGACCTGCATACTTAAATAAGTGTACAGCTTAGTCAATAAAGAAATCATTACTGGTGGTAGACTATGGATTGCTTTGCAATGCTTTGCCTTAGTAAGCCTTTAGCTTACAGTTCTGGTTTATATAGGAGCGGTGGGTATTAGTTAAGCCTTTGGCTTGCAGTTCTAGTTTAGTCTGAAGCATCCTTGGGCCAAGGGTACTCAATTTTGTGTAACTGGTGGGTGAGGTCCCTTTGGGTGCAAGCTTTGTTATTTGAATGACTTTGACCCACTTTCAAAGTCACAATTGGTCAAATATGTATAGACTTTTAAATTACCTTCTCAATAAACAGAAGGTCTATGATGGTGATATTTGGTAAGTTGCATGCTGAGATGAAGGGCTATAAAGTCTCTTCAATGTAATGACTTTGTTTGTCTTTCAAGGTCACATTTAGTCAAGTATATATATAATCTTTGAACAGGTTTTTTGAATGATTCATAAATACTGTTTTTTGACTGTAGCTATATTTTAGATCACTTCTAAGGTTACAAGTGTGAGATAAATACCAGGTGAGCGATGCAGGCCCATTTGGTCTCTTGTTATATATGGAAAACATCTAAACGTTATAAAGGGAATTTCAAGCACAGTATATTTTATGTATATCAATTGCTGGTGTTACTTTTTCAGATTCAGAAACAGCTTCTTCGGATGAAGAGACAGATGGGGTTCCATTCAACTACTGCAATATTGCAGTTCCCCTCAAGATATTTGAGCTGTATTTTGCAATACCTGGATCTGCATTTAACCAATGCATCGATAAATTGCAGTTAAAGGTAAGTAGAGTATTAGTTTAAGTCATGTTATATTATACACATGTATACGGTGACATACTGTATTTTACTGGTGATAAGCTCAAGGGACTTATACATGAAAATATGGCATAAGTAGGGGATGGGCTTATTAGTCCCCCCACCGGTTCACGTCTTTCGTCTGTCCGTCCTTCCGCCTGGGCATATCTA